AAGATAACCAAAGCGTTGCGGTTTTCTTCCATCTCGACCTGCTTCGGGACTAGTTCAGTGGCCTCGTCTTTTGACTTGTCTAAGTTGAGAAGTTGTCCTAGGTTCCTTGTCCAGGGTACTAGAGCGTGAGCAAGATAGTTTCTAGTTTTTCCTTAGTCAGTATGAGTAAGTCGGTGAAATTCAGGACATCTTGAATTGGTCCTTTGTGCTTTGTCGATTTCAGGTTGAGTTCGTGTCGAATGAATATTGCCGAGGGGTGATCGTCCGGAGCCGACAGTCTTTTCATTAGGAAGCCGTGATGACGTCTTGTGGCTATCATCGTGAAAGGTGTAATGTACGCGTCGTGGTTGAGAAGGTCCGTAGATGTGCCCTTGAAGGCTCCTAGAATCACCCGGAAAGCCGTGTTCTGGAGTTGCAAGAGTATCTTTCCCGCTTTGATGTGTGTCCTATTCGTTAGCCACACTATACTACCATAGAGTATTCTTGGTAGTAGGATTGAGAGGGTCAGCTTCTTAATCTCGCCCGGTGAGAGTCCAGAATAGCATTTGTTGAGCCTTTGTAATTGGTGAATCGTGAATACTCCCACTTTTTTAATGTGGTTAAGGTGATCGTTGAAGAGTAGTTTCATATCAAACCAGATACCCAGCCACTTCACTTTTTGCTCCGGTTGTAGTTGCACCTCCCCGAACTTGAAGCCTGGTAGGTCTTTGACTCGTTTGTTGGTAAAGTGGATCAGTTGTGCTTTTTTCTTATCGAAAATCGCTCCATGAGTGTTGGCCCACCTCAATGATTCTGAAGCTCGTTGTTGAAGTTCTGTCATGTTGGTCTCCAGTGATTTGGAAGCAACTACATGGACCACATCGTCAATGAAGCCGATCGAGAGCGCTCGTGACGATGGTTTGAGTATCCCTTGGCCTAGGAGGCTTGAGTTATAGATTATGTAGAGAATGACTGACAAAGGGGATCCCTGGGGTAGCCCGTTTTCAATATTGAACTTATCCGACAGGAAATCTTGTAGGCGTAAGTTGGTGGATCTTTCTGATAGGAATCCTTGAGTCAACCGGACAAGGTACTCGGGGCAGTTTAGTGTTTTGAGGGTATGGATGAGCCTTTCCCTATGAACCGATGGGTAAGCAGATTTCACGTCAAGGAAGAGGGCAGTGACAAACTCGTTGTTCCTCCACTTTTCTTTTATCCACGAGGTGAGGACCAGTAATGCGTCGTCCGTGGATCTTTGGCGTCTTCCTCCCATATGTCCAATTGCCAATTTGTTCCTAGTTTCTGCCCAGTAGGTGATTCTACTAGTAATTACCTTCTCAAGAATTTTCCCGAGGCAGCTCAGTAGAGCTATTGGTCTGTAAGCATTAGGTTCTGAGTAGGAATCCTTTCCGTTTTTCCTGATGATTATCGTCACAGCTGTTCTCCAAGGATTTGGGAAGTAGCCTAGTCCAAAACATGCATTGAAAATACGGCAGAGTTCGTCGATGATAGCTGGTAAAGCGGCCTTTATGAGCTCGTTTGAAATCTGATCGCCCCCGTTTGCCTTTTGATTTGGGAGGGCCTCGATAATTCTTGTGAGTTCGTCCTGAGTGAGTTCTGGGAAGGCGAGATGGTTGGCCGGATAGTTAACCCTGGCCGGAGGGATATCTGAAAGGTCCGCTTCGATGTGGGCTACTGAAGTGCCATAGTACAGGAGCTGAGACTGTTCTTCTTTACTCGTGGCTATGGTTCCGTCAGGTTTCTTCAGGGGGGCTATGTCGCCTGTGGACTTAGCCTTCACATAACGAAAAGCTTTGAACGAATCGTTTCCTGAGCAGTTTGCTAGGAACGTTTTCCAGTGGAGGATTTTGACTTTCAATACTTGTTCTCGGAAGAAGCTTTGCCAATCCTCGTAGCACTTGTGGGCTTCCGGTAGGTGGGTTTTCAGCCACCACTTTCGGGCACGGTTCCGGTTTTTGAGGATCGGGTTCAAGATGTCTTTGTCCCACCAACTTTTATATTTGCTGATCCTGGTTTTGACCTTTTTGCCTTGTTTTTGGGCCGATTCAAGTAAGATGGTCGATAAGGTGGCGATTGCTGTATCGATGTCACTAGAGGTGCGGTAAGCTGACGATTGGTGCGTTAGTTGCATTGTTATCGTGCTACATAGGAGAGAAGGATCAATGTTAGTCATGTTTAAAGAAATATGTGAAGTCGTTGGGGGGATCAGGCCAAGGTCTAAGACGGTTTCAATAGGGAAATGATCTGAGGCTAGAGTGTTGGTTAGTACTTTACAGCTTAACACCTGTTTCGTGAGGTTCCAGCTAGCCCAAACAAGGTCAATGGTGGTAGCTTGTGTTCCTTTGGAGAAACAAGTCGGCACACCTCTTGGAGACACTAGTTTAAAGCCTTTGGAGCTCAGAAGGTGTATTAACTTCCTGGCCTGGGTGTCGTTTGAGGTGTATTGTGGTGGGTTCCATGAGGGGTGGTGTAAATTCGAGTCGGTCATGATGATGGTTGGTAGTTGTCTTCTGTGGTTTTTGTTCAACCAATGTTCTAGTGTTAAGAGGCCTCTGAGCGAGCCCGGGGGGTTGTACCAAGAAATTATTCGAACTTTGGTTTGGGTTGAGGACGGTTCTTTGATGTCAATGCCCAGGACTATGTCTGATAGGCTGGGAAGGACCGATATTTGGGCTGTAGGAATTAATTTAGAAATGTAAATGCATAATCTCGGTCTGTCAGACCAGCCTGTGGGGTGATAGTCATAGGCTGAATAGCAGTTCCAGGCTTCGTGGTGTGGAAAAGATAAAGAGTGATTGTTGAACCAAGGTTCTTGGAGGGATAAAATGGAGTATTGCGTGTGAGTGAGGGCTTCGTGTGTGTGTTGCATAGAGTTGTGACAATTAAAGTGAAGGAAAGAAATTTCGTTGAGGGAAAAAGGGGGGTCCGATAGTGAGCTACAAAGATCTAGTTGGTCGTCTTCGTTCAGGGAGCATTGAGGAGAAGTTGGTCTGTTGGATGCTTGTTGATCGTACCTATAACTCATTGTCGTTTAGTTGTTGTGGGGTGATTTTGTGTTGTGTATTGCGAAGTGGGCAGGTTAAGCTTTTGGGAGAGTGGTTATATTTGGGGGTGAATTGGTCGATCTTTTCGTTTGTTTTCTTGCTGTCAAAATCAAGACATCTGGCGCATACTTGTTCCAAGTCGTTGTTTGCACAGTCTCGTGTGCTATGTGCATCACCACATTTGGCGCAGCTCGGTTGGTTGTTGCAAGAGGTGTGGGTGTGGTATAGGTCTAGGCAGTTAAAGCACATCGTCGGTCCTTGCTCATAGTGTTTGCTTCTGATTCTGTGACAGTCGACGTAAAGGCCGCCTCCTTTCTCGATTTTATGGGCGAGTTCTTTGTCTAGTAAGTTCAGTACAATAGTGCCTTGTTTCTTCTTAGTGTCCACCGGGTTATTGATCCATCTAACTGAGTGGATGGCTTCAAGAGGGATGTCGTTTTCTAAGCTGAGTCTTTTCGGAAAGTTTTCATCATTCACATCCACATCTGCAGGTACAAAGTTGAATAGAACTGGATAGCGAGTTTGAGTCGTCTCGAAGTCCTTGTGAGCCATCTTTGTCCAGATGTGTTTGTTTTCTAAGAGCCAGTTCTTCATGAGTCTGTTGTCCATATTCATGAGCACATCACCTGATTTGAGGACTTCTGCACAACGGATTTTAACTGGGGAGTCGTTGACCTTGGCGTCTAGAGATGTGAGTGCTGAGTTAATGCTTCGTACGATTTCCGAGCTCTTCATACCTTTGAAGGGTTCCAATCCGGGGGTTTTGTGTCTGATTAGGGTGGCCGCTTTGAATTTGTTGATGTCCGCGTTTTTAGGAGGTGGTTTTGGGGCAGTCACTATTTGATGTTTCGGGTAGGGGTTAGTCCAGGCTCTCGTTTTACTAGTTGGTTGGCGGTCCGTCAACGTGGCAGGGTTTGTTTGGGGGAGGATGATCGGGTTTGAGGCAGCTGGCACGATCTTGTTTCTCTTGGCCTCCAGTCTGTCGATTTTATCATTAAGTTTTTGAATTGTCTCCATGAACATTGATAACATTTGGATGACCGTCTTTAGTAGGGCGTCATTAGATCCTGAGTTGTTGTTTGCTAGGGAGGTGAGAACGTCCTCCATCGCTGTTGGGTCCACAGGGCTTCGATTCGGTCGGGGGTTTTTCGGGTGAGGTGATGGATTATCCTTGTCGATGCCCGGTGGGCGTTTCGACGGCATTATGAGAGGGGTTTTGAAGTGATGATAGAAAATAAAGAAGTTTTTTCCACACTAGGGCTGTGGCCCGGGCCCGACCATCACCCATTGCCCCTGCCAAGCCTCTGGGCTCGACTTCTGGCCCTGCCCTGAGTGAGCCGAGCTGTTTTTGGAAGCCATCGGGTCACATCAGGTCCGGGTCTGGTCGCGAGGCTGGCCCTGAGCTCGCAGGTCCGGGCCTCAGCCCTACACCACACCCCAGATATGTAACCACTTCAACACACAAAATTGAAAGATAAGAAATGGAAAACATATAAACACACACATAGCAAAATATTCAAAATGAAATTTGAAAAAATAAATATATCACAAGGCATAGAAACAAAAGTAATGAAATGAAATCATTCTAAGCTGACATTCGTCTTTCTTAACACACAAAGTTGTGGTCCAAGAGCTTTTGTTAAAATGTCTGCCTTTTGATGCTAGCACGTTTGAGACATTGTTTTTCATTTTGATATTCAAGCTGGTGAACTGTCTACAAAAAGATTCCCATTTATTGGAAAGAGTGTTTTTTCTTATGTGAGACCTTAACATCCAAGATATTACTTTCATTTGATAGCTGAATTAAGCATGCCAACTTTCAGACTCCAAGCAAGTGATTCTGTGGTAAAGGCTGAGTAACTGATGAGTTTAATGGTTGGAGCAAATCAGCTTTCTGCAATCAAAGCAAAACAGACTGTGTGGACACCAACTGCTTCTCCCATTTTGAGATTTCCATTTATGTATTGAACATCACTTTTGGCAGATCTTTCCACTCTCTCCAACAGCTCTTCTTTACAACTGCACCTCCAAACCTCACCCAATTTACCTCCTTTCCCCACATATTGGTTTTCCAGACAGAAATGGTCCAACTATTCATCTTGTCAAAAGCATACTTGGGTATCCAACAGGTGGCTTCCTGAGCATTTACATTCCATTGAATGTGCTCATACATGTACACCCCAATCCCTGACTGCACCCAACTTTCCATCCAGATCTTTCAAAGCATCAACAAGCATGAATCTGAATTTTCTAAGAGACTGTCTAAATGTCTTTTCATTGTACAAAACTAGCATTGAATGTGGCACTGCAGCATCTCATACCTCCACACCAGGTAACTCAATGGTCTACTGTACCTCTACCAAAGAACCATCATTAGACACAACAAGTCTAACCAATAAGATCAAGTACCATAATCTGATGAGGGTCAAAAACTTCAGAAGCCATGGTATTGTGCAAACGGTTTGTGCTGGGTGTATAGTGGGTGAAAGCAAGAATCAATTGATTGTGATTTATAAAAAGGATTGCCCACATAGCTAAAAGCACTCATATGGCAGAGTGACATATATTTGAGGTACTCTTGTTGAGGTCTATTTGAAATTATCCTTAGCAGACCACATCTTGAAGTTATTGTTTTCTTAGGATTGATGAATCTGAATTTTTGTTGTTGCAATTACAAAATACCTGGTCTGTGGTTTTGTGCTTCTTCCTTTCACCCACAATACTGTGTCAATGTCCTTTAGGTTAAGGATCTGTTTTATAGTATATCAATGGAAAATCATAAAGTTAGTCATATCACAATTGATCAAACTGACCACTTGTGGCAGAGGGCAGCCAGTGGTGGTGATGTTGCCCAACAAGATGGAGGATCAATCAGAGTCAAAATCCAGTGAGCTGGGTATCCCAAATCAGACACATGATTTAACAAACAAAGGAATGTGGTCAGATTGAGGGGGAAAAGACAATACACATGTCTTCATTCTTTGAATGTGGGTAAGGAAGGCAGATTTTGAGTGAATGGGTGTAGCACCAGTTTATAAAGTCTGTCTGTGGCATATACCGCTCAAAGGTCTAGGGTTCCTGTTGAATCTGCTCCCAGATCAAGTACTCCAATGTAGTCATCAGACACTGGCCCTTCTGGGTAGTTGGGGTCAATGGTTCCATCTGAAAGTGGGACCTGACCAATTTACAATTGTGCATGGCAAGATACTCAGAGTAATTTTGTGAGATGTTGTCAATTTCTTAGGGTTTTTGGAGGATGCATGAAGTGATTCCTGTTTGTTTGGGGACCAGGAAGGCACATTGGAAGGATGTGAAAGGACCACTGATGTGGTAACTAGTGATAATTTCAATTAGAAGGCTTGCTCTCATATATAGTGAAAGATGAAATCCATACCCTGGTCCTGGATTGCAGAATATGACTCATGGGAATGACATAATACTTATGTGGCCACTTTGACAATAAGAACCAATCATTGCATTCAGTCTCAGTGCAGTAGTTAAGAGTTTGATTTTGCATCTCTTCAGTTGCACCCTTATTCATTTGCACAAAGACTGACAACAACTCAAGTAATTTGTTCTGTGAAAACCAACCTATCAAGGTTCTGTTGCAGTCTGAGATGGTCTTGGACTCAATGACCTTTGGAATTGACTTTAATTTGAAACTTGTGTGCTGAATTTGCAGGGATGATCTTTACATATTGTGCCAAGACTTATTTATTTGGTTTTGATATCAGGTCAACCAACAGCTATTGCTCTGCAAATCAGCAGTACCTTACCATTTCCTAGTTCATCTGGAAAAATTGTTGACCTAAAGACTCTGCGGAGGCTGGCACCAATGTTGAAATCTGTTTGAATGCATAGTCAGGAACTTTGTAGGACAGACTTCCTTTTTCATGTTTGTGACAGCACTGATCTGTCAGCTTCTTTGAGGATGATGAATCAATAGTTGGATATTTAGCAAGCATAAGCTGCTAACAGAAAGAGGCTGTTTTCAGTTTAGAAAATCTTTGAAAGACTTGTTTATTGAAAAAGGGTGGAACTGGATCAAAGCACATTATATTTTTACAATGTAAAATATAGGCCCAAAGAAGTTGCTGGAGTTGAATGATTTCTTGACACACCCAAAACACAGTTAAATATGATTCAAATGTCTTGTGCACATTGACATGCCAAATGACATCAAGACCTAGTTGTGGAATGAACATGGTTATCAAAACTGAAAGAGTATCAAAGAAACTGGTGGAGACTAGATGGAAGGTTCAGAAGCAAAACATCCCTCACAAGTAAGAACAAACAGATTCTTTAATAACTACTATGGGAAGATCATAAGAATTGTAAAAAAATGATACTCATAAGGCTCCTCTGGCATTGGGCAAGATGTCTCAGGCTCACCAATATAACAGACCTTAATGCAAGCTCTTTTAAATCATCACAAGAGGTTTCTCAAGTGAATAACTAATAGGGGTGCTCAGTTCAATCAATTCTGCAGCTTGAACTGTAAAAACTCCTGATTTCATAAATTTTTGCCTAAATCTTAAGGAGTTTGGGATGCCTTTAACAACATCCAAAGTTTTATAAGCAGCAAGTTTACATCAATTTACAGCAATGAGAAAACTCAAACAACTATAAACAAAGAGACAAGCAATGTGAGGTGAAAAAGCAAAGAGAAGTGTCAAGACTGATGTAATAAGTAGCAAACACAAAAGAAAACAAATTATGGATTTATGGTTTCTCAAGAAGCAGTTTATTGCTGTTGACCATTGCTGACCATCTTGTTTTACAAAACAGGAAGGTTTTTTGTTGTACTTTACCATCAAAGCTTCCCCCTTTTTTGCAAGAAAAGACCGTGAAATTTTTGACCTGCGCCCCCTGAATGCAAGCCTAGGGATACAGATGATTGTCCCCTGATAGCTGAATTGCCAATGGCAACTTTTGAACATCCAAGCAAGTGATTGCAAAATAAAGTTCTAGAAAAGGATATCAATTGTTTGTTGATTGTACAAGATCAATTTCTGTGATTAAACCTGATGAAACTGAGAAAAAAGTGAGTGTACTGTACCTGCTACATTTTTGTGATAAATTGAATCTACATCGTGATCAGTGAATCTTCCCATTCTCCCCAACACTTTGTTTTAACAACTGACTTTCCCAACTTCACTCCCTTACCCTCCTGCTCCCATGAATCAGTTCTCCATACAGAAACGACCCATTCTTTCATCTCTTCAAAGGCATCTTTTGATATCCAAAATGTAGCTTCCTCGGCTTTAAAACTCCATCGGAATGTGCTCATACAACGTACACAATCTTTGAGGGCTTTTGACTTGGAATTATTATCGTTTATATCATTGATAAGAATTGATCGTAATTTTTTAGGCAACTCTCCGAATTTCTGTTCATTGTGGAATACTAGCATCGAGTGTGGGGCTCGAGCATCCCAGATCTTCAAGCCAGGAAACTTAACGGTGTACTGCATAATATCATCTACACGAGGAACGGCGGAAGGGACGACAATTCCGACGGGTAAGATCGAGCGCCATAGTCCGATCAGGGTTGCAAACTCCATGAGCCATGGTTTTGTGCAGAAAGATTGTGTCGGGTGCGCTGTGTCGACGTCTCCTGTTGTGAGGACCTGTCATCTCATAGAAAATCAGTAAACAATCAAAAGGGGATTCAGATCATATATCCAATCAAACTGACCACTCGCGATGGTGGACGGGCATTGGTGGTGATCACGCCCGACAAGATTGAGTCGATCAAATTTGAAATCCAGTGAGCTGGGTATCCCAATCCAGACACATGCTCCAGTAAGCGAATAAACGCGGTCATATTGAGAGGAGCAAAGACAATGGTTGGGTTAGACGAGGATCGGCACACCGTATAGGAAGGCGGTGAAAGGACCACCCACGTAATCACTATTGATGATATCAGTTAGATTACTTGGGTGGTAAAGGATGAAATGAGATATAGACTTACGGGACATTGCTCATGTGGATCATGTGATATTTATGCGGCCACTTTGAGGACAACAAGAAATCATTAGATTTGGTTTCCGTGGGTCGGTCAAGGATTTGGTATTGTATTCGTTCGAGGCGATCGGCCATCTCTCCAACGCAAACCTCTACCATCATGCAGTCGCGAAGACTAGCAATAGCTCCTCCCATTGTCATAAAATAATTTTCTGCAACCATGATGAGAGTCTCTAGTCCGAGTACTGCTGGTGCCTGCGCAGTGTCTTTCATAAGGCTCCCGAGGACTTGAAAGGGTGAAATACCCAAGTCTGGGCGCGGTTGACATCCAGGCTTGGTGTTTTCGCTCTCAAACACAACGTCGACCAGGGTGATGTTGGGTTTCCAAGTTTTGTCAATGTGCGAAGATAAACGCTCCTGGGCACCTTTGACCTTCTTTCGATAGGCCTCGATGATTGCCACTACCTGGGGATCGTGTTGGGCTAGCAAATCATCGTCAGGTAAGACGATTGCCATGTCTTTGAAGGCACGTTGATCGAACTTGAGGTGGGAAAATGATAATTGTGATTCTAGGTCCATGCCTCCGGACATGCTCATTACGCCCATCCTTGTTTGGAGGTAACCTTCTTGTGTGGCCTCGCGAAAGATTTTAGTTGAATAGCACTCAGTTGGCCCTCGTTTCCAAGCTTCAAGACTAGGTCGGACAGCAGCCTGGGCCGCGGGAGGAATGTGAACCCAAGATATCGGTTGCTTAGAGTTGTCAAAGGCATCCAGGAGTCGCTGAATGATTCCTCGAATTCGGTTCCAAGCATAAGCAGGCATAACTGAAGCCATATAAAAATATGATATTGTATCGAGTGTCTCGATGATAGTGTAGGGATTTCCGTTGTCGGGCCTGAGCTTCTCCTCATCAGGCATTGACATGATCAGAGAGATATCATCCAAGAGGGCAAACAAGATCAAGTCTCGTGCGATTATAGCTTGGCTGACATCCAGAATAGTCATATGAAGCTTCTGATCAGCCTTGCGAGAGTTGTAAGGCTTCATAGGGTCCGGACTATATTCTAGTATGGTTTGCAGCATGTTACGAGCATCGCCTACCCCGCAGAACATAAACGACACAACTTTGGCGTCCTTTGTGGTTCTTTCAAGAGCTGGTCGGTACAGCGACTCTGGATCATCGTGGCCAATAGGGTAGTAAGCCCTGTCGTTAGTCAAGCTAGGCCTATATCTCGGCAAGTACAAAGTGGTATCCCGAAGTGATTGTTTTGGAATAGAGTCGTCAGGTTCGGATTGGTATCGTTTGGCCTTCGTTAAACGAGTAAGCAGCTTTTGCTTTCGAGGATCGTCATCAGGTTCTTCTGCCAAGAGAGCTAGAGCATCGGTACTAAATTGTACGCTTTTCTCATAATCTCCTGTCTCAAAAGTGACCGCAGAAAGGTTCGATAGGGGTGCCGGGTCCGATGGGGTCAGTGCTGCAGCTACTTTGTAGGCTTTAATGGCTATCAACCAGTTTATGCATAATCAGTGCTCTGCCATAAGGAGATGAGAAAAGGGTCGACGAGATCGCGTGGAAAGATTATGAATCTTACCATTACTAAATTGGTAAGCTTTATAGAAAGCATTCCCCCTCAGACGAGCATCTTGGCCACGTTCAACGTTGGATGACATTTTGAATTTTAAAGAGGTCAAATCCGAGTAAAATCACGTAAATGAGGTGAGAAGTGACTCGAGTAAAATGTTTCAAGGTCAACAAGGGTAAACACTGGTAAACAAAATCTAAACAAAGTCCCTCTCGGCGAACAAGCCTGCGAGAGAGGAAACAGAATGATGAAACCCCAATGTGTTTGAACTAAATATCATCAAGCTCGTCTTCCTACTATGTACACCCTAGCTCGTGTGTAACTTCGCACTCTCTCATCTCGATTTGAGGTGTCAACAGCAGGTCAACAGCTGTCAAGTAGAATGTGAGGATAAAAATGTGAAGGATGCCAGTTGATTCCCAGGATCTCCAATGAATTCTGCTGAGCTCGTTGGTCTTTCAGGGTCTTGTTGATTCTGACCAACAGCCACCAAGTCTATGTGACTGAAAGGTTTCATCCTCGTAGCATTTTAAAGAAAGGGTCACGAATTGATTCAACGATTTCATAGCTTCAATCAATATCATTTCTCTAGACTTTCAAGTTGAGCAGCCAAAACCAAGGCTTGATGACCAGTGACCATTACTCTGTGATGTACATTTTGACCTTGTCGACTAAATCACTTGAGATTTCAATCATCATTAGAATCTTCAACTCAGTGATCAATGTATGGAGATCACTCCATTCTTTGTCATGGATAGAAATGTGATAGTTTTTCTTTTCAAAGAAACATAAACCAGAACATATATACATTGCATTTTATTTACTTTCGAAAACTTAAGTTGAAAGTCAATACCAACGCGACAGTGAAAATGGATTATAAATTGTTACCAAAAAAGGTCAAGTGAAAGACTTTGTATAGATGAGGACATAACAAACGATGGTATCCTATTTCTGCAATACCAAACTAAAGATCAGATCAATCAAAAATGCAGTGAAGAACATAAAAAATTGTTTACCTGGAGCAACGATTCCCTAATCATGAACACGTAGCAGAAGATGGTCTTCGAGTGAGAAGTGATACAAGACTCATATAAGTCATTGCATCCCGGGCTTCTTGCACATTGTCTGGAACCTTGCCAGGTTCTTAGAAGAAAAAAGGCCTTTTTTCAGATATGTATGGCTTCCATTCCATTGATCCTGTTAGGTGTAATAAACACATTTCCTATGACACAGGACAATTGATAATCAGCTTGACTCTGAGACATGAGGGTGATTAGAAACAAAGATTGATTAGATTATTTGCCATTGATACCCTTTGACATCTTTTTGACAGCAAAAAATGATATGATCGTGTATCATGATATATTATGATTTCTTTCGCCATTGGTCCGAACAGACAGATCGAACACCTGACTGAAAAAAGGTCGTATGTTCCGATGGTTCGTAGCCGGAGGCCGGACATGAGCGGTTCAATCAGCAACAAATCTAACAATTGAGTGTTGTGCTTGTTTGGTGGACCATGTTCCGAACATGATTGGAAAAGGATTGGTGAGAAGTTGGATTAATGAAGTTATGATTGAGTTTCCTCTGTTTGATTATAGGATGCAAAGGTTTCGATGACCGAATGACGTTGGAATCGGTTGAGCCGATGACAGAGAAGTGGTGATTGGGTATGGTGATGAAATGCAGCAGCAGTGATTTGTTGTGACTTGTACGAAACAAAGTCGGAATTGTTCTTCAGGCTGGAGTTAATAAAGGGGACCGGACCCTACCTCGGGGCTGACTGAGTTTTGACAAGAGTCGGTCTGGCAATTCCTGATTGGAAATTCGAGTTGAACCGTTTACGTTTACCTGCTCTTGACCAATTCATCTCATTCATCCTCATCATCATCATCCTCATCATCATCATCATCATCCTCATAGATATCTATTTAGAAATTCAAAAATAACCAAAGATGAGCTGCTATCCAGTCAAAAATTATAATCCAAACCCTGATCATCACCATCAACAACAAGGACAAGCTGGACGTACTACTTTACCATCAGCTCATCACTCTGATCAACATTCTCACTTTCATCCTAATCCTTCAAATCAATCGAATCTAAATCATCAACAAAACAATCATCATCCTAATCACTCTTATATCAACTATCCACCTTCACCTCCTCCTCAATCTTATTCAAATCATTCAATCTCTTACGATCAAAATCAATCGAACGCATATACTCAGCCTTCATCTAATACCATCACTACTTATTCACATCCACATCAAGTACCAGTACCACCCCTGCCACCCCGAATACCTCGCCATCGAACTCAGCAACAACAACATCCTCATCATTTACCTGATCTCAACACTCGTAATACATCTACTCCTCCTCATCACGATGAGAACTTATGTCCACCGCTCGCACCCTCAACTCAATCGGTCATCGTGCCAAGTCCTGATCTCGAAAAACTCCGCAGACTAAAGTCAGAAATCGAATCTGGCCTTCATCCTGTATACAAGCCGATCCCTCTCAATCCTTATAATCATCATGATCCTAACTCTGACCCTCAGAGACCTATCGAACTCCAACACAGCCACAATCATCAAGATCGACCTGAGATCGACTCTGGTAATATCATTGATAACCAGGTACCTTCTCGGATTCACGAGACCCAATCACATCCTGATCATCAACTAAGCTCAAAGAACGCACTTGTAAGCGCTTCTCTATGCTTACCTTTCTCTCTCTTTCATTCTCGTTTTAAACCGATCTTCAGAAGAGATGGTTTACCATGCCCATTCCCTAGCTCGATAGTGCCTCTCTATCTGAGCGTCTGAAGAAGACCGACCCCTTTAACAGGCTTTCGACCATGTGGATGTCTCACCTCGCTTGTTACTTCTTTTCTTCATCAGAACCATCCACACGTGGAAAACGGTCAAGTTGGCGGATTGAGGACCAATGCATCAGCTTATCAGCCTAACGGTGTACTACCTCCTCCTCCTCCACCGCCTCTGCCACCGCCAGCAAATTCGAGGATAGACTTGGAAGAAGGAGAGCACATTGCCTTGAGCCGAAACCGTGCTCCTTCAGTAGACTCGATCAGAAGTCATCGCGCACGTTCCTTGGAACGCGAGAGACGTGAAGCGAATTACCGATCGCACTGGCCTCGTCGGCGTACTCGATCACCATCATCAGCCAACGGTAGTACAAATGGTGGAGGTCGACCTCCGATACTACCTCGTGGGGCGCCTAGACGAAGTAGTGAGCGGAGCGGCAGGTTTCCTGATATCGATGATCGACGGGATCGGGAGAGAGAACGCGAGAGGGATAGAGAACGTTGGGAGGGTCCTGATCGACGGGAGATGGATAGAAGAGATCTTGAACGAAGAGACCTCGAGCGACGTGAGATTGACCGCAGGGAATTAGAGCGACGTGACATTGATCGTGATCGAAGGGATGAACGCTGGCGAGGAATCACCAGCCGGGAACATTATGGACATCCTGATCATGCGCGCCTCAGATCGGACCGAGATCAACCTCGACGCTCGATAGACGAGCGCGTTGTCGATGGCAGTGGTCGAACGAGTGATTGGCGCCGAACCTCATTGCGCGACCAACGAGACGAACACGATCGCCGAAAACCACGCTCCTCCATCCGCTCTTGTACAAGCCCTCCTCCACGTTCAGCGCCGCCACTCTCCACCACCCGGGACCATCAAGATCAGCTACGGCGTGACTCCCGATGGCCTGCCTCCCCACCACCTCATGATCGTGATCATCGAAAACCACTTTCTCCATCATCCCATGATCGAAGAATCGCATCGTCTTCGACCGCCACATTGACACGCGGAGCACATGATGCGCCGCCACCAAAGGACCGACTTCAAAAGAAAGAACGCGATACCCAAGTCACTGCATCTGAAGATGAATACGACCCAGAAGCCGAACAGAGACGATATGAAGCGGAAATGGCAAGATATCAAGTGGAATTAGAGATTTATGAGCGAAAGATGGCTGAACGAGCACTAGCTCTTGCGGCTCAAGAGGATGAACGACGTAAGCGTCAAACCTTGGATGAACAATTGCAACAACGAATGACGATGGAGAGCGTTGAGACTGGGCAAAGTGTTCCAACTGCGGCTGTGGATGAGGTGCCTCCAGCAACAAAATCGCGTCCCATGACGACTCTCGTGATTGATGATGGACCGATGGGAGATGAGGTATTAGAAGTCGAAACGGAGACTGCAGCAGCAGCAGCAGTCCTTTTAGGTTTAGGAATGATGAGGCCTAATAAGCCTGCGTGCCAGGTGATTGACGAGATCTTAACTGCCTCTGTTCAGAATCCAGCTCCTGTAGTTGCACCGCCAGCACCAGAACCAGAACCAACTACTACTGTTCCTACTACAGCACCTGCTACTCGAGCCATAGATCCTGTACTTCAACCTGACTTGAGTTCGATCAGTTTCAAAAAGATGTCAAAACAACGTTTAGTAGCACAAGATGAACACAAAGTTTCTAAACCGATCAAAAGTCATGTACCACATCGTTCACCACCACCACCACCATCTATTGTAGCTATTCGAAGAATGTCACCTGGAGGAAGAAAGAGAAGAATTCCTTGATCATATTTCAAAATCCCACCAAACAAAGATAGGGTTTGTTTTGTTTTGTTAAACAAATCTACAAATATAACTTACAAAGTGTTTACAATAAAGGCAATTCATGTTTTTATCTTTCGTTATTGTTGATGTGTGATTAAGTAATCCTAAAAAAGTTTTTTTTTCTATCATACGTTTTGGTTTTTTCTTTTGCTTTTTCTTCGTATATTCTTGAACATTTTTTTTTGGAATCAAATCAAATCAAAACAACAACAATAAAATGATTTCATATAATTTTATTCTTGGTATTTGTGTGCTTGAATGGTTTATAACTATATCCAAAAGAAATGATGAAAAGCTTGATAGATTTTAGGATGGTTTGTGTGTTTGTGTTTGTTGGATCTTGCAGTTACGTAGTTTATAGACTGGTGTTTGGTGTTTGATGTTTGAGATTGATTGTGGTGGTAAATTATTTGGATTAGAAGATCTTGTGAGAGTATTATTTGATTTGGTAATATGAATGATAAAACCTAACACTACCAGCATTAAGTGATTTTACCTTGGAAAGAATGATCATATTGAGACTGAGAGCAACAAATGATTGAAAATGTGTCGAATCAGCATTAAATCAGCAATTTTGATAGCAAGGCTCAGTATACTTCAGAAGTTTGTCAGGAACTCTTGAGCATCCAGAATACTTCACACACTTGAATCAAAGTTGATTCTACTTTGTATGGTCTTGCTCAAGGTCCAGGTGTAATTTAAAAGGCAAATGGTGTAATTCTTCACTCTTTCAGTTGGGTTTGTGGTTTGATGAACTCACAGATCCAAACCCATTGAAGGAAAGTAGACAAAAAAATGTGTTGATGTTGTATTGAATTGACCTTTTGGTATATATCACCCTTTTAGGTATGCAGTTATGTGTCTGCAGCCCTCATTTTGCAAACACACCTATGATTGACTTTACCCCTATGTAGACTATCTTGACTGTTCATTCAGACCGTCTCATGAATTGGTATATACTTTGACACTATCAAGAATTGGTATTTGATCTCATTATGATACTCCTGCTAAACTCTCTAGCTTGGTATTTACCATATCAAGTGGAGATTAGGGGGGCTCAAGTCAAAATATCTTACTACTTTTATTGTAAATTTTTCTAAGCAGCAACTTTACGCAAATTTGCGTAAATCTGCTGCTCAGAAGGAGATCCGAAAGAAATTTCTACGGTCCTTTTTTACAAATTGGGAAAAGTTTTTACAGCACGGTACCGTAAAAAACTTTCCCCAAACTTAACAAAGTCCCTTGCCAAAGGCCCGAGCCCCAGCAAGGGACTTACCCCATAAACTGGAATCCTGGCGTGAGAAGTGAGCTGTATTTGCTCCAAATTCTCTACATCTGTTTGTTTTTTTTCTCTCTCAACAAACATGTCTTGCAACAAAGAAAGAAGAAAATGGCAAGGGACCATTACATATCTACCAATTGCAAACTCCTTTCTATCTTTCTGGGAAGTTATCTTTTGGAGTAGTTGAAGATCAATTATTTTGACCGCTTTCTGAGAAATACAGGCTTTGAGCCGGCTTGCCGCTGCTGAAAATTGAGAACAGACCCATTTTTGATTCCCCAGTAGCCCAAGTTCCAGACCAGATTTGGGGAAGCTTGCAATTGGCTCATATGTAATGAATATTTGCCATCATCCTTTTATTTACCTCCGAGACCTGTTTATTTAGGAACAAATCAAAGAATTCAAAGTAGCGTTTTTTGAGCCAATACAGGCTACTTCTCACGCCAGGATTCCAGTTTATGGGGTAAGTCCCTCGCTGGGGCTTGGGCCTTTGGCGAGGGACTGACTTTGTTAAGTTTGAACTTTCCCCAATTTTTTAAGAAAAGGCCGCAAAATTTTTGACTTGAGCCCCCCTATTATCTGTTTTTGTTATATGCTTGTTTCATTGTCTCAGACTCCATTTAGCTAAGAAAAACCCAAAAGAATAAATCAAAAGATATAAAAAAATCATTGAACCCAAGAAACACACTTTTACACTCTTGTCTATTTAATCCTAGGTACATCTATATACTTTATCATAATAAAAACATATTTCTAATAGAATAATAGATTTCTTGTCTGGATTAAATTCATTTAGGAAATTAGTTTGTTTTACTTTATCCGCAATAAACATTTCCAGGACATAAGGCTGCAGATCCATCTAGAAATTTAAAATTTGAAAGGAATGAACAGAGATTGATGATGTCAGTTCTTTTAATCTTGCAAATCAGAAGTTTTTTAATTGGTACTCAACACTTTGAACCATCAATCCCAATAACCGCGAATAATGCATTAACAACTCCACCCAATCCTTCCCCTGACATCAGTCCAGCTGCCAAAGAGTATGCATAAACTACGATAGGAAATTTGTCAAGTCGGTTCTCGAAACTCTAAGACCGGAGAATATAATGAGAAATGACACTCACGTTCATATGTCCGACTTGATTTTCGCTGCCATACAAACGTTAACATGGAAGCGATAGCCATAGCACTTGCATAACCCGTAAAGTTGACAATAAAACCCAATCCAACTGCATTCATATTGGGAACCCACTTCTGGGCCGAAGGTCTCAAAAGCTTATACTTTCCTATGGTGACGAGCATTCCAAGTATGGAAAAGCAGATGGCAAAAATCCATGATGAGCGAGGGATAGGTAATGATCCGCGCGAAGTCACTGCGATCGCAACTGCCCGCCATGCGCCAACTGAAGGAGCTCCGAATTCGCAAGTTTTGGCGTTGAGGTCAATGATACACGGGTACGCCTGGGAGTAAGATATCAAGGGTCAGTATTCCTTCAAAGATGATTTTTGAACAGAACTGGACAATGAGTTGACCACATACCTGCGAGAAGAGAACAAAGAGGGTGGGTGCGAGAACGATAGAGAAGAAGGCGCCTATGAATTGAGAGTAGAATTGTGAAGATGGACTGGCACCGAGAAGATGCCCGGTACGCAAGTCGCCAACCATGTCTGTTGTCTGGTTTGCTGCTGCACCAGCCAACATTCCTTTGGGATTATCGAAAAGGTGGTTAATGTTGTTTCTATAGATTGTGATGAAAATAACGCGCAACAAGGTACTTACCCGATAAAAGGTTGACAGTAAGTGCATCAGTTGCATGTGCGTAACTCCTTGTTGCACCACCGATCAAGAGTTGTGAAGCTTTTGCGCAAGTACTATGTTCAGAAAGGCAAAATTAGAATCGGGAAAGATCCTTTCAGCAAAGACTTCAGTTTCATACCTGATTGGATTGATATCTGTGTCCCCGGAAGACTGAACGCCAATGAAGGAGAAAAGGAATCCAAGAACAATGGCGAGGATTGTGACCCCAAGTTTCACATGGAACTGGACGTTATAAAGCAAGATCAGTTATCAGGATATAAAGTGATGACGTGATGATCTCATGGTAGGCAGTTTGACTTACTTGAAGCTTCATGACGACACATGTAAGGATAACTGATGCCACTAAAAGTGATGCCCAAGCCCATACGGGTACAAGTTGACCCTCAGCCGGATCAGGAATGTCGTCCTCGTTTTTCTCATCGACTTTTTTCTCGCGGCGTGCGACTACCCGATAAAGCTCTGATACCAAACCTGAGAGACCACCAATCATCTTTCGTCCATTCATACCAAGCTCCGTGAAAGATGCAACAATCATGAGCATGACTCCAGGCCAAAGAAGCCAATATCTTGGGGAAGGATGTTCAGCCGTTGTAAAAGCCGCGCTCATAGCCTGATAAGAGATTAGTCCTTCGGCCTCTCTAGGAAGTCCAAATGCTACGCCTCGCGCAACTAGCACTGGGCCGATTATTCCCCAAGCCAAGACAGTTCCAAGATAAAACGAAAGAGAAGCGTTGAGTCCAGAGAGAATTCCACAACCCAAAAAGGCCGGAGTGAATTCGAAAAACTGGCAATCATCATGTTATGTCAATAATGTGATATATATTCATGATATCGCGGAGGTTAAAAAGATGTGACATACCCAAGTCCAGTTGTCGGCGGCAATTGCTCCCTTAGCGCCTGCCCGTGTTATATATTAACATAATGGTTGTATAAGCATGAAAAACTATAGGCAGCAGAGCGCAGATGATAGCTAACCAAGCTTGTACAGCCACCATCCCCAATGCCAGTCCCAAACAATTCCTGGAATGTATTGGCTGACTACACGGAGTGAGATCGAACTGAGAAATGCGAGCCCAAGGCAGATAGCTTGCTTTTTGCCAGCTGCTTCACCCTCAGGTCCTGAATGAAGACCGTGAATGGCGAGAGCGGTAGCAGTCGGTGTAGGAAAGACAAGCTTCTGTCGAAGGATATAACTACGCAACAAAGTTCAAAAGGACAGGCTTTCAGATATCACAGTGGATGTAACGGTCTCGACACGATGAAAATGACTCACTGCTTGCGCATTGGAATTGCAAATGCCATTCCGAAGAATGCACCCGCCATGGTGAAGAGTATCAATTTGCCCAAGTCATCTATAAGATTCAATCACGGACTCGTCAACTTTGATCCTCTCCATCTGATAGCCGGATGTTCAATTCAAAGTCTTACCTTTGGGGTTTGGAGAGAGAAGACCGAGCTGATACATCGCAGGTACACCTGAGACAAATAATATTCCAAGTCCTCCGCTTGCTGTTGCCGCCGTCTGAACGGTACAGTTTTCACGTGGCCCAAAATAACCCCCAAGGATAGGGATCGACAGACGAGAAAGAGGCTTGAGAAGTGCATATCCGAACAATGCACCGAATAACGAAGCTCCGAAAGTAAACCTGGTCGTGATATGAATGAGGGCTAGTGTTAATTACTGGATTCAAGGAGAGGTACATGCGCACTTACCCGGTCTTTAAGCCCAAGTACATATTACTTGCTTGGACGACGGAACCTAAGAGACATCCAACTGCTACCGCCCGAAAGGTGAATTGTTGAGTTTCTTCCGGTAATCCAGCGATCTGATCGGGAACAGGTGCGTGCAATATTGTCAGCCATTATTCACACCAAGAGCACAGATGACCAAGAGGGCGCATAGGTCACGCTACATACCAGAGGGATTGGTTCCCCACTTTTGACATCGTAGGGCGGAGGTGAAAGAGTATAAGAAGAGTGAATTGGTTCTCCAGAAGCGGGAGAGGTGAGACGGGGAGAATAATCCTTCTCATCAATCAAATCGGTTGACGTAGGATCGTCCAACCTTTTGATTTCTTCGATAGAGGGAGGCATGATGAAGAGTTGAGATAGCAGCCAACACAGAGGCTTGGAGTTTGCGAGTAGGAAGTTCGATAATTGCTAAAAGGATGTAAAGAAACAACCTCAGGATTTGGCTTGCACTTTATTTGGACCACAATTTCTCCTTACCCCCAATCAAGAACTCAGACGTTACAAAGTTCTATGAGATATATTCGTAGACCCGTTGTCTGATCAGGTCTGATCCCTCGAGATGCGCGGCACAGCAGTGGATTTGCCCTGTTTGGTTGGTTGATTCTACGCCCCTCCTTGCTTGTTTTCAAGGTGAACTCCGTAGAATGATTGGTATATTCGGATCGTGCTCCTAAACAGGGGTTGACACACGATTGGCGATTGGGCGGAACAGCAAGGATCCACAATGAGGGAAGATAGGCTTCAAATAAGGTGACAAATGGGCCGGAGAGATAAACAGTCGCAGGCTTCAGGGTGCTTATACACAAAGACTGAGCGGACTGAAGCTGTGGGGGTGTACCTCGAATTGTGGGGATATATACCGGATGCGAGCAGATACGAGCTACTTGTCAAAGGATCCTCGCCCAAGCGAAAGACTAGCACCAAAGTGAGCTGAGCTGGAGAATTTAGAGCGATACAGAAGAAAGACGAAAACGTCGAGTCGGCGCTGTTCTAGGCAGGTGGTTTATCCAAGAGAATCAATAGCCGAATGAGGACAAGGATGGAAAGCCGTGTGAAGATTCATGTACTGTGAGGAGCTTCCTGTTGTGGGATAGATAAACCCGAAAGGCAGAAGCAGCTTCAGAGTCAAGAAAGTCTCTGCGAATTCATCACCTCAAGTATGCGTCTCAAACGTGTCGCTGGTGCTGTTTGAGATATCGGCTGGTGCCGGACTTGGCTTGATTGTGTCCTTTGGGGAGTATGTATGTAAGTATGCACAAAGCACGCCATGTGCAAGAGCAGTGTGTGTTTTGAGCAGTTGAATGGCGTGTCTAGTGGGCATTGCCGGTGATATGAAAGGCTATGAAGGGTTGCTCTCTTGCGAGGAAATACGGAAAGGTGGACCTGACAAATGTTGCGGAACACCACATGCCGCTTGCCTCGAAGTAATACCGTATTGAACATAATTAACGTATCTTTAAAAGATAGCCTTTGAGGTGGGTTAATGGACAAATCAGATTATTGGGATTCCTCATCCAGTTTGAATAGTATTGTTTTAAAAATTTAAATAATCTCAGATCGAGATTTGAAGTTTGAAACATGTGAAGGTTTTGAACCTCACATGGCCCTGGCTTCAACATATTGTAGTCGTTGATTGCGTTCACCTCGATCAGATCAGTTACAAGACCTATCCCACATCGAATAAATTGCCACACCGCCGTACGAGCACAGATTGAAGAAAGCTTAAAACAAACCACATCTTTACAGCCACGTACCATTCGGCCCATGTCCGATACCCAGATCAATTACTGGACCCTGCTTGTTTGTCGGTCGAAGTGCCGGAGCATAGTATATAGAGCCTGGACATTGGACATGCACATTGAAAGGCAGCTTGTCAGCACCGTGTTCTGTCCGCGACGGAAGGCGACGGGAGCATCATAACGGCTCTGTCAACGCGTGCCGTTCAAGATCGATGTGATATTGTGACAAGATGTCGAACCACTTTGCAAAGAAGACATTGTTTACCTGCCTCATGGTTCAGTGGTATGTTTGTTGCATACGACCCTGTCTAGGTCCACGACACTCCACTGAGGGCACACACTCGCATTCTAGAGATCTTATCTTGCGCAATGGACTTGGGCACATGGTCATAAAACAACGGTGCCGAATCATTTAGGAGCATACCGCCACTTGTCTGACTTACGCTGACTTACTTCAGGTAGTCCCTGAGGCTGGACTCCACCTGCGCTGAAAATTTTCATCGATAATTCCATAGGACTCAGGAGGCCGATTCCTGACCCTCTCAAGTTCTCGACAAATGTCGAAATACCAAAGTTTGATAGAATGAATTGATCAAGGCCATCGAAAAAGTGTTCACTCGTAAGCATATGAGAGAAACACGCTCATGTACCTACGTAGGCCATACCCGTTGACAGTCAGCAGAGAAATACCGGTGCGAAATCTTATCCCTCTCCCTTGGCTGATCTTGAATCTTAAGTCTGGACGCGCTCAGCAAACTGCAATAATGCGCCTTGTTCCTGGAGGGCTTCCGACTGACCAACCAAAACAGTCCCGCTCCATCTCAAAGATGATCCCTTGCGTAGATCTAACATGCTTCTACATCATCTCCTGGGGATTCACCTATGATGCTAAGTGACATTTGATATGCCACTGGCGGTTTCGATTGGTGAGCCCAATTGCAGTAGGGTCACCAGAGGATTGATACCTGCACCAATCGAAGGGATGTTCAATGGGACCCCAAGCCTAAGGTATGAAGGACTTTGAAAGGACTGACTGGCTGAGGAATAAATTGAGAAGGAGGACATGGAGCTCAGTCAATATGGTCTTCACTGATTCACTATCAAATTGAGAAGGCTTTCATCTATAATAAGTAGCTGAGTATATCTAGCTAAAACCTGCATATGATACATGCAATGTGCGCCAAAATGATTTTTTCTCATTGCAAGGTTTTCGTGTCAGTGAATGGGCATAGTTCTCATACTCTCACCTTCTCTTGCTGTAATGGACACAGAGTGCGACCCATAGACTTTGAACAGCGCTTCAGGCCAACTGAGATCTTCTTGCACCTATTGGTACACTGTCCAGGTTTACGAGCGCTATTTTTGGTTGGCGCGTCATCATTGGTATACTCTACTGGGTATTTCTATGCTTCAAAAAATATATATAAGTGGTTGAACACGCTTGCTGTGTGCGATGAATGTGTCCTATGACTGTGCAGCACTAGCATTCTGTCGAATCAGATTTAGTGCACTACCAGCTACAATGAACTTGATAGTTTGCTCGCTCAGACCATGAACGGTTTCAATCTCAAGAACTCGCCCATCAGGCTTATGAACCAGCAGCTTCACTTGTTTATCCAATCCACCCCTCAGTACAGCGTCCAAGCCAGCCGTGGTTGCTTGATCTCCAGCACTTATAAGAGGATAATCAGCGTCAGGATTCTTCAAGACTAAACCGACGATTCCCTGCTTGGTGAGGTTAGCTAGGTGAATACGTGCAAAAGATTTTGCAACGATGAGTTTGGCGCCTAAGAATCGAGGCTGCATGCTAGCGTGTTCACGCGCAGAGCCTTCTCCGTAATTGGACTGAAAAACTCAACAAGATCATCATCTCAGTTTCTGAACTCAGATACTTTTTAAACACCTTGTAAATCCACTCACGTCTGTCACGATCATCCATCCCTGGCCCTTGGCTTTCCACCGCTTGGCAACATTTGGGATAGTGTCTTCTGTTTCTCCGTCGAGCGCAGTGTTGACTTTACCTGTTTCGTCATTAGTGGCGCCAATCAATGTGTTTTCACTGTGATCAATCAAATAAGCTTCATCAAAAAAAGTCACAGTATAGAATGGGGAGCTGTACTATTTCTAACCTGATGTTGCTGAGATGACCCTTGAATTTAAGCCACTTTCCGGCAGCGGAAATTTCGTCAGTTGTGCACTTGCCACGGATCCGTAAAAGACATCGGAGGCCTTCGAACTCTAAAGGCTTGGTAGCGTCGGGCCAATGTGGCTCAAAAGGCTGTAGAAGTTCAAGACGAGTGGATTGTGGGTCAATTTTGATCTCTGTGGTCGGATCTGGTGTTGGATCTGGTGTTGGGATGTAGCTGATATCTCCGTTTTCGAACCCGCTGACCGGGAGACGTTCGCCCACGGGCGGATCGAGTTTGAATGGGTTGCCTTCCGAGTCCTCTAAGGTGTCTGTGATCGGATTGAACGAAAGCTTGCCTGAAAGCGCCTGTTGATTGAGTCAGATCGACGAAACGATATTTTGACATCATCACTAGCCATGCTAATGCTTACCATAGCAGTAACGATCTCCGGGGAAGCCAGAAAGTTCATTGTTTTTCTGTTTCCATCATTCCTTGCTCGGAAGTTTCGGTTGAAAGAGGTTAAAATAGCTGTCGATCACTGGTACATCAGTTCATTACGTCACAGTGGGAATTTTAGGCAACAAAGCGTACCATTTTCCTTTCCTGATTCTTCTGTGCGGTCCCATTGGCCAATGCAGGGTCCACACGCATTGGCCAACACAAGGCCGCCGACGGACTCCAGGGTACCTTTGATTCCATCTCTGGCAATCGTGGCATTGATCAATTCAGATCCGGGTGTGACCATGAATGGTGTCTTGGCCCGTATACCTTTGGCTATTGCTTGTCGAGCGATACTCGCCACTCTAGACATATCCTCATAACTACCTTGAGATTCGTCTGTGTTAGCACAGGCAAAATTTACGATTGATGGAGAATAAGTACGACGTACTATTTGTGCAACTTCCAATTAAACTTGCGCTAACTCGGTCTTCCCAGCCGTTTTCCTCTATAAACGACTTGAATTTGCTCAGCGGGGTGGCTAGATCTGGAGTATGAGGGCCATTGATATGTGGCTCCAGTGACGAGAGGTCGATGGAAAGGTGCTGATCGTAATGGCAGTTGGGATCGGCTGAGAGGAATCCGTGAGCTTGTGCTTCGTCAGCTGCCTCAGCAACTGGGGCACGATTGGTAGCTTTGAGATAAGTCCGCATCTGTGAGGTGTAGGGGAATAATGATGTCGTGGCACCCATCTCAGCGCCCATGTTACAAATCGTGGCTCTGGATAAACGGAAGGTAAGATGTCAAAACGAGGTTCCGCGTGAGTGAAAGACATGAGTCTCCCGAACCACTCACAAGCCAGTAGCGGATTGATGATCAACACCCTCGCCATAGTACTCAATCACAAAGCCGGTACCACCTCGCACAGTAAGCTTGCCGAGAATATGGAGGATCAGGTCCTTTGGGCTTGTCCACGGGTTCATCTTGCCTTTTAATTCAACCCCGATGATCTTGGGTAGTTTAGTCTCCCAGGGTGTGTTTGTCATCGCATCCACTGCATCTGCTCCACCAACCCCGATCGCAACCGCGCCTAGTCCACCAGCATTAGGTGTGTGTGAGTCGGTACCCAGCATAAACAGACCAGGAGCAGCATAGTCTACATGATTGAAAAAAGTATATCATGTCAGATGATTCTATAGAGAAGGCTTCCCAGCTAACAAGACTGACTTTCGAGAACAATTTGGTGAATGATTCCACTCCCAGGTCTCCAAAACTCAAGACCGTATTTTCTTGCCGCACTTTCGAGAAAATCAAAAACCTCTTTGGATGAATTGATACCGCGTGCAAGATCTGCGTTGGCCCCCTCAGCGGCCGAAATCAGGTGATCACAGTGAATTGAAGCTGGAACAGCACTCGAGTTCATCCCACATGTCGCAAACTGAAGCAGTGCCATCTGAGCGGAGGCATCTGGATTAGCGGGATAACTTAAATTAGCCAGATAAGTCGATAATCTTCTTGTCTAATCGAGCATATCACTCTTGCTTGTCCGCACCTTGCATGGCCACCCGGTCCGGCTTCAATTTGACAAAAGATTCCCCACGACGAAGACTTTGTGAAGAGATTGTGGCAGGATCAAGATGACTGAAGAAGATTTTCTCGGTGAGGGTAAGCTGACCACGCTGAGTCTTCGGAAGTACATCGCTGACTCGCTGTAGTTGTTTGATCAAATGCGAATAAGGTGGAGTTATAGATGGATAATTTTTTGAGACTGTTGCGTATGTCCTGCTTGTTCGCCACATTTTGTAAATCGATTTCTAGCTCCAAGAATTTCCTGAGTATCTCTTCTTGCGTATTTTTCAATAAAATGAGATGGTTGCTCGCCGTGAGCCTGATGGCATCCCAATGTGTAGGGGAAATCAGTTGAAGGTCTTGTTGCGAATACTAAAATTTATCCGCCTGTGTCAATCAAAGATGTGTCGGAGGTTACACACCGCTATAAGAATAGAATTTCAGTATATGCTTATATCACTCTCACGTGACTTCGTGCAAAAGTCACACATTTCGACTCCCGCTGCATTTCAGCTGCATTTCTTTAAAACTTGCAAAGCATGAGATGACTTCCATTCCTTGACACGAAACCTTGAGTCCAACAAGTCTTACAAAAGTGATATAGAGTCAATTTCGCGAGTCTTGCCACATCCTGAAATTTTCAGCACCGTGGTGGTCTGTCCGTCTGGTTTCTGGAGGACTTGCTTGCGTAACCCGGAAGTAAAGATTTTGTGTCTTCTCAAGATTGATGAAGAGGTGCAAGAGGGCCTTTTGGATCACTCACCATGCTTTCAAAGCTACCCCTTTCCGATATCTCCAGTCAAATCGGTTATTCATCCAGCAACCAAGCAGCGCTATAAAAACCCCAAGTTGTTCCTCAAACAATCACCAACAAGAACTACAATTGTGTTTGCCTGAGCTGACATATTCAACAAAGGGTCAAAATCTATACCAAATGCTTCCTCACCGCATCGTACTCACCACAGACTCCGTCAACGTGCGTATCTTTACTACACCAGAGAGTAGGACTGATGGAGTCCTTGGCGAGTGTAATGTGAGGGGCGATCAGCTGGTATGGACTTTGTCATTGTATTTGATAGAGCAGCTTTGGGAAACATATCGTGGTTCTCCGGTGTCCGTGACTTGAATGCAATTGCGCTTGATGAAAAATGTTGAGCGAGATCCCAAACTAAATGTTCATTTCCTCTGATGGTTTTCCAGAAGTTGAAGTTGATTGAAAACAAAGGTCATATTCAAATGCTGCGAACCCAGAATACCTTTTGGAAGGACTGCAGTGATAGCTTCCGTGAAGCTCTGGGTGTACCAAGGCACATAAATATCCAAAAATCTTCAACGACCAGGAATGATCTCAAATAGACCGATACCTTATTCGTAAACACATCTATCGGGGGGTTCTAGGATGATACCAAGGAGATTTGGTTCATACACCTCATCCAGAAACAAACGTCAGAAGGCACCAACAAGTTTCGGAAAATCTCAAATTAACCGCTATATAATCAAATAACTACATAATCACTGCAACTTCAAGGAAGTTGAATAAGGCAACATGCAATCCACAATCTAGAGCTTGGAAATGTTACAAATTCATGATCAGAAATAATGGATAAATCGATTTATGGAAAATCCTGAACATAATTCTTCAGCTTTTGCACCTGTTTTGACTTGCATAGCTTTGCATTAACAGTATTGATGTCTCTGAGGGTCTTGATTGCAGAACATCGATAGACTGTCTGTGATTCTGGTGAGGTGTGCTCAAAATTGCAATGATCGAGGCGAAGGGACGAACAATCCCCGGTACCGTGCGGCGATGGTGATGGAATGTTGCGTGTGTGACAGAGCTTGTGTGAGACACGCAAAGCGCATGAAGCAGACCTAAACGATACACGACTGCGGAAACCGGAGCAGTGGAGCCATTGACAGTATCGAAGTTCGGATCACCGACGATAGCGACACCGACGAGACACCCTTACCAACTTCTCACCGACCAGTAGTTCTTCAAGAGTACGTGCTTCTTTTCTTAATGATACTCTGAATGATCAATATCGCTCACGTCATGACTCACTTTTATTTATCATTAACCGTCAACCCATCAAATTTGAATCACTTTACCTACTTCTCAAAAAACTTGAAAAAATGAATTTGATTGAAAACTCTTCGCAGTGGGTGCCTGTAAACCAAGAGGTCTTCACGCCGCACGAAAACTCCGTAACCAACGACGAGAGAACCGATGGGCCGATAAGACTTACAAGAAACGTGCCCTTGGAACCGCTTACCGATCATCTCCCACTGGTGGATCATCTCACGCTAAAGGTATCGTACTTGAAAAGGTGCATGAAGATCTCATTATATCACTGTTCGACATGGATGTAAAGACATGCGGTTCCTGATTCAGACTTTTTTCGGATGCTTATGGGGATACTTCTAGGTTGGTGTTGAAGCTAAACAACCTAACTCTGCTATCCGAAAGTGTGTTCGAGTACAATTGATCAAGAACGGAAAGAAGGTCACCGCTTTCGTACCTAACGATGGTTGTCTTAACTTTTTGTAAGGACCAAGTCATCTTTGACCTGGAAGTGTTGATGTTTGTTGAGATTTGTACTTGATTTCATTTGGTAATTAGGGATGACAACGACGAGGTCTTGATTGCTGGTTTCGGACGAAAGGGAAAGGCCAAGGGTGATATTCCTGGTGTAAGTTTTCCGATATCCTCCTGGTGACAAAGTAGTGAGGTTGAATATTTTGCGGGTGTGGCTATTAGGTGCGATTCAAGTGTGTCAAGGTCTCTGGTGTCGGTCTGATGGCACTTTGGCTCGAGAAGAAGGTTAGTTGTCGATCCTTTGATTTCGTTTTCACCATCCTCTCATTAACTCGTTGATTTCCTTGACATTGTGAATTCAGGAAAAGCCCAGGTCGTAATTGCAGATTATCAGGTTCCTTGCTTCTCCGCTGTATATGATGCCTTCACTACACCTTTGGGCATCCTTGCCGTTCTACCATCACTTGCACAACCATCATCAGTCTTCTGCCCTCGCCTGCCCAAGCTTATGCCACGTCAAAAAGTCTTTGTGATCGATCTTGAATGCAGTAATTTACTTGCTATGCAATACTATGCCTCTATGTATTGCCTTGTACCTGATGGGCTCCAGGTGTATGTGATGAGCGTGCGGAATCTAATCTTCGCAAATTGGATTCAGAACTATACATAATTTATCTTGACCAATAGAAGATTAGATTTTGATATCAACTAAATATCCATAAAGCCTTCAGTCAAGAGCAATGGTGCTGAATCTAGCTACCCCCCTTCCTCGAGTGAGATTATAATTCTGATATACGTGTCAAGAAGCTCAGAGCCTTGCAAGATGACAGTATTTGTCGGTTTTTCTACCTTGCTTATTCAGAGATCGTGTACTCTTTTCACGATCGGAAACATATAACAATGTCCGCGGGTCCGTATAAATTTGAGCTATGTAGTTCATGAATCCTGGTCGATGACCAGTGCCAAGCAACAGCTGCTATCATATCCGACTTTTTATTGGTGGTTAAAATTCATGTCGCGTGATTTTTCTGAGGAGAGGCACATTGTAGTGTGATATGTTGAGAGGGAAGATTTGAAATATGAGTGGAGACGTAAAACTTCAGTTTAGGTTCTTATGAAAGATGAGAGAAGTTTTGAAGACATCAAGTTCCAAATCTCAAGTTCCAAGCCAATGAATTTTAAAATGAACTCAATTCAACTTTAGCACAACACACTTCAAGTTTGATATCATGAACTCTAAATCAAATCAAACTCAGCATCCCAACTCATCAACTTCAACACCTATCCCTCTATTCGAACTATCGACTCAATTCAGGTAACTCATCAATATTCTCTTACTTATCATCTAATCAATATCTTAACAATCGATCAAATTTAATGCAGGCATTGGAGATTTTCCGAATCAGGTTTAGAGAAAGCTAGAAGAGATTTAAATGAAGGAGCAGTAGGACGAGTGAGAGCAAAACTAGAAGAAGAAAGAGTTGAGTAGGGTTCATTAACTTTGAATCTAATCATATCATCTCTAATTAACTTTTTTTTGGATCGAATCATCTAGCGTACTGATACACAAGATGGAATGAAGATAGATGAAGATATCAAGATCTCAACTTCAGCCATCGAATATTTAACAGTGGCAGATGAATTATCATTAGTTACATTTTATCTTACTAAGATTTCACAACTTTGTAGAGCTTCGTTCTTCAGATTACCAGAAAGTGTTGAAGCATCTGCCATGAGTTATCTTAAACGGTTTTACCTTCGGAATACATGTATGGATTATCATCCTAAAAACATCATGTCGGTTCACTTTTTTTCTTTCTGATTGTTTTTTTCTACATTTCTTTGTTGACTGATCGTCGGGTTTCTTTTACAATAGGTTAACTTGTCTTTTTCTAGCTACTAAAACTGAAAACACATCGATATCCATTGATTCATTCGCATCAAGAATCCCTAAGACGACCAACGATGATGTACTTTCGATGGAATTCTTAGTAGCTCAATCATTACGATTCGAATTTAAAGTTCATCATGCACATTTAGCAGCTAGAGGGATTTATTTAGATTTACAACAAACTTTGATGAATAGTGGGATGGGAGAACAAGATGATATAGAAGTGTTGAATGAACGTTGGATAGAAGTGAAAGAGTTATTAAGGTTTAGTCGATTGACTGATGCGGAATTTCTTTGGACTCCAAGTCAGATTGCTACAGCTGTTTGGTGGATAATCGAACCTGAAAGGATAACTGAATGGATCAAATCTAAAGCACAAAGAGTTTCACAAACCGAGACGAATTCAGTTGAAAGTCATGTAAAGCTTTTGATGAGTTATTTACCGAGTTTGGTTGAATTGATTAAGAAATCAAAGTCTACTTCGATCGATAAAGAAAGAGTTACAGCTATTGATAGAAGATTGAAGTTTTGTAGAAACCCGGAAAAGGATCCTAATAGTAATTTATACAAAATTAAATTAAAACAATCTGAACAGGAAGAAATGGTAAAACAACAAGAAAAAAGTTTGAGAGAAAAAGTAGATGATCCATTTACTTAGAGTCAAAAACAATCATAATTCAAAGATTTGTTGTTTGTAAGATTATTGGTTTTGGATTTTCAAGATTGGGTTTAAGATATTGTTTTTTTTTATTTTTGGATCAATTTAAGGCTTTAGTATTTATATTACTTTTGGGAAGACAGTTTGTGAATTGATTTTTATTATCACCCAAGGAAATGATGTGGTACGTAGACGTTTTTGGTAGCGTTCCTACAATTGGATTCAACAAAAAGGAAGTTCAAGTTTAATTTTCTCTACAATTGCCCTAATTGAGGAATGATTTAGTCAAAGTTCATCACAGATTGAGAATCTTAGAAAGGCTTTGATGGATCATAAAAGTAAGAAAGCTTGCAATAGACCTGCTTCTGATCCTTCACTTTCTTTCCTGAATGATCTTCAGATGAAAGCTTATCAGGTTCATAATATGACAATGCGATCACTCATATGTTTCAAAGTCTCTGTATCTTAAACGTGGTGGCATACCAGGATGTAAAATAATTCGGCATATCTATACTATACTATACATCGGAGCTTGCAATTTGCCGGAAAAGTTTGACGCAACTGCTTTGAAAAGCTTATTGTTAGGTTGCTTCTGATTTCTCAGCCTGAATGACCTTCAGATATAATTTCGTTAGCTGTGAGAGGAATTTTCCGCCCGAAGCGCATTAGGTACGATCGTCTTGCATCCAGAAAAGGATGTGGAACAACGCGTAGTGAGCTCTCAAACGTGGTACATGATCATCATGATACCTAGTAATTCGGTATACCTAGTATGCGGTAAAGAGTTCAATTTGGCGGCAAAGTTTTACGCAACCACTTGAAAAAAGTGATGCAAGTTTGCTGCCTATCTTTCTATTTGAAATGAAACATTTCTTCTGATACCTCCACGCAGTTTTCCTCATCAGGTGTTCTTTAGGTATCGCTACTCCAATCACTTTCCACACTTTAATACTTCAACTCTTCATAATCAATCTTTCCGCGGTTGTTACAACTTAGGGAAACTCGTAAGAGTGTCAAGTCAAAGCGCATCTTTGGCATTTAAGAAATCTTTGTTTGGATTAAGACCTTTAGAGTCTACAGGAGTTATTGGTTGGGTGCGTACATTTCCGCTCAACTTGTCACCGGAGACACGTACAATACAAAGACATGCTAATTACTTATCCACAATATTCTTTCTATAATATTTACAGTCGATCAGGTCTTTAGGAACACCACAAGGATATCTCAAGCCTTTGCGTGACAATTGGTTTGCTTACGACCAGGATTCAATTGTGCAGGTACCAAAGCTTCTTGTGTGTTACTTTCTTTATGCTTGTTCCGCACTGTTGTTGGAAGACTTTTTCTGATAGGCTTTCATGGGGTTTTCAGCAAGATTCCATCAAGTGTTATTGATATGAAGCCTGTCATTCTTGGATTGTATGTCATTGTCAGTATGGCTTACCGTGCCCATTCTGCCATGATGGGACTGCAACCCATGGCAAACCCACCGTATATACCACCCCCTATGATACCTGGGTATGGCGAATCACATGGAGCAGCTTCTGCGATTGAATGGTATGGACCAAAGACGTACCAAGGGAGTGAATCCAGAGAATTTGCCAAAGAAGTTGTGTTAAATGATGATCAGAAAGAAGAGGTCTCCAGTCCCGATAGATTGACCAAAGAAGTTATGTTGGATGATGATCAACAAGAAGAGGTTCTAAGTTCTGATCCACATCATGATCTAATCAAGGGAAGAAAACCCCTCTGCGATCGTCGTAAACCGGTTCCACAGAGTTCGAATATGATAGCACCGATTATAGAACCACCAATGGAGCGTACAGAATACACAAAAGCACAAATGAAACATTTAAAAGATCGACTAAAATATCAAACAAATGGATTAGATTACAAATACGATTTAGAAGGAGATAATTTCTTTCAGCTTGATAAGAAACCTTGTGATTGTAGTGGATATTGTGGTAGGATGAAAATCTTTGATTCAAAACATCCTCATCAACTCGTTTATGATACTGGTTGTTGTTATTGTAGTTGGCATTCTAAAAACCCTAACCAAGTTAATTGTGGTGAAACTTGTTTGTCATTGGCTATTTTGTGTCCTTTTGCTTCATTGGGTGCTTGGTTAAAAGCAATCAGTCATTCTTCAGCAAGGAACTTTTAGGTTAATGTCAGACCAAAGTGCATGAAATGTTATGTACTTAAATGCTCATCATATATTTTTTTTTCTCATAGACACCATTATAAACCTATCAAGCTCATTGATATAGATGGATATGCAAATAGAATATCTGATCAACTTGTCATATTTTGTTGTATCTTGTCTCTTTCAGAATTTCACATCAAACCCATATTACAATTTCATGCAAAACTTTCATTATTTTTGTTTGGAATGATATTTTTTTTCCAAAAAGGTACAGATCACATGGACTGCAAAATTGATAGATTCCAATTTTATCTTGATTTATTTTCAAAGTGGCTTTGTACACATACTCCCCATGTAAGTTCAAATCAAAGTCACTTCTTATGTATAAGTAGTCAAGTATTGGTCTTTGCCCTGCCCCTGCAGATCTGAGGACAAGCCCACCAGGCTGGAAGTTCAGATGAGCAATCTTTGCCTACAGAGTGCAGCGCACAGTGCCCGTGGAGAGGGCTCCCAACGCCAAGGGCTATAGCTAGTACAAAGGCAAGCCTTTGTACTCTTAAAGGCCTCCAACATTGGGGGCGCCCTTTACGGGCACTGTGGGGGTAGGCTTTCAGGCTTTGGGGGAGCTGTAGGGGCTGCAGAGGAGCCAAAAGCATGTAAGCCTGAACCTTGCCCTCACCATCCCCAGGAATTCCTGACTCTGAGTCCCAACTCTACAGCACCTGGAGTGCGGATGAATTTATGTAGATTTTTATAGCAGGTAATTTTGGTAAGGATTTGAGAAAGCTGGGGTGTATTGGGCTGGGACTGGGGTAGATACCTAGTCAGACTCAAGGTAGGGACTTGAGACTTGAACCCAATTTCTTTACTTGAGAATAGAATTTTTGACCATTTGTATTCATTTACCATTACAGGCTCCGCACTTCATTAAATTTTGTTTCTAGTTACACCCACCTTCTTCAAGATCTGGTACATCTCCTGGTGTGAATTGAAGTGTAGGATATCTCTGGAAGTTGAAGAGATTTGCCTCTGATGATGGTACTTGTATTATGGTGCCATAGGAAAAAAGCTCATCCATGAAGATGTTGTAAAACAACAAGACAAATTCAAGTTTTTGGTAATTGAACCTAATAATTAATAGTAAGATTCAAGTTGATCAAAACTTGCCAAAAAATTATGTGCGTACCTTGTGACCTTCCAGCCCATCAAAATTCACTTTTTTGAAAAAAATGGCTAGGAATTTGCTTTTGATCAGGGGTGCAACTTTGATAGTTTTTTTAAAAAATCATCAAAGGATTTTGTAAATTCTCAGTCATGAATGGTTTGTTTGAACCAAAGAAAGCCGTTTTGAGAAATTTTCCCAATAAGTAAATTGATCCATGAGTGATTTGTAGAGCATATGTAGATCTGATTGAGAAATTCTGAAGGCAAATGTGTACAGCTGTTTCGAAAACAAAACTGGTTGTCGTTTTTTTTTTTTTTTTTTTTTCATATCCGCGGTTTTGAATCTAGCAGAAAAACCGCGCAAAAGGCTGATGACAGCTGATTACATGGCATGAGGTTCAATCCTGTTGGACCCTGTTGAATCACATTGCAAGCTTGAAGCCAGCGCCACGTTTGTCCACAACACAATTGAGCCATCCTCAACATGCCTGCTGATCGGAATTCACGGCCTTTTCAAAGTTTCAATCAATCACTCCCATATCAAAGAACCACTAATTTCAACACAGCTCAACAGTCTCGTGGTTCTTATAGCGGTACATCCTCAAGCTTCTTCCACCCGGCTCAAGATTTGACTCAAGAAGCACCAATCCTACATGCACCGGGGCATTTTCCTTATCAACGTTTCAGCCAAACTGGCCCAATCACATTTCCAACATCACAACCATCAACCTCTATTTCTTCCTATCCACAGAGATCAAGTCGGCCATGAATTCACGTTCTTGATCTGAGAATACGAGGGGACGACCACGTTTCTCATATTCTGATGCACTGCAAACCACGGCTAGAGTTGATTCGTATAGTTTTTGCCATTGGGTGAGGGTGTCCACATGTACTGCAGATCGCAGATGGCGTTTGACGGCTGCTCGACTCATACCTTCGGACAATAAAGTAATCGCCTGCACTTTGATGTCGGCGCTGTATCGAGGCATTCTTGTTGTTTTTGTTTCGTGAGATGTGGTGAGGTGGATCTGGCAAGATGGGGGCTTGGACAAGGTGCATGCGAATAGAATTTGGATACATATTTGCTCCCGATTGGGAGAATTAGCCCAATCAGGTCAAATAAATTGACCGCGGATATGAAAAAAAAAAAGAAAAAAACAACGACAACCAGTTTTGTTTTCGAAACAGCTGTATATCAGACTGATGAAATATGTAAATTCTTTCTATGAAAAGAAGTTTGATCCAAGATATATTAAATTTTTCTGAAATGACTTCCATCTACAATAGTATATGATGGTGTGACTTTGCACGTCGATGAGGACGAAACCAGCATACGATGATTGAAGATTTGATTAATTTTGTTTATTTGCAGACTAGATGTGATACTTTCCATTTCCATTTCTAGGAGCTGATCAAATTGAACTAAACCCTTTGATGATTGATCACTTTGTCTTTGTTTTAAGTGAATATATCTAGTCCTAGCGTGACACGACTAGCACAAGTAGCCAACTTCTACCATAGACTTTACTCCAACTCCCCTTGGGTATTTTCTCAAACAGAAGATAGACAAACCAAGAATGAGATCACACAGATCATGAAGGTGAAATGAAGTTTTGATTGGTTTGACTAAATTGAGACTGTATGGTCAAGTATGTATATGGTTAAGTGTAGAAATGAAAGTTGATCAAGGTTGGGTAACTTTAAATCCAATCAAGAATCAAGAATCAAGAATTCATGAGAAACTAACTCAGAACACTACAAACCAATCAAAAGTCATGAACCCATTCTCAACCACAACCAATCAAGATGAACAACAACTTAGAAAACATACCAAACCATTCATCCAGCTCAACTTCATCACCCACAAAACCTCTCAAACAAACCACATCCCAATCCCAACCACAATCAAATTCCAAATCATCAACCATCAAACTAACAAGACCTTCATTATCGACTTTAACTTCCTCAATCTCACGCAACAAATCAATCATCTTATCACCAACTCTATCAAACCAAACTCACACAACAACAACAAGCACCACCACAACAAGCACCACATCACCAACTCCAATCATTCATTCAAATTTAACTTTCTCAGTTGGTGATCGAGTCAAATCTACAAATCAAATGATTGGAAAATGTGCATTTATTGGAACGATTGATCAAAAAGTCGGACTTTGGGTTGGAATCGATTTAAGTTATCCTTTACATGATCCTGGTCAAGCTCCTTGGTATGGTAAAGGTAAAAACTCGGGTTCAGTTAATGGGTTAGTTTTCAAAAGAAAAAGTACAATCGAATTTCAAGAACCAAACTCATTCTGATCTCTCTCTCTTTTGTAGGGTTTCTTATTTTACTTGTGATCCAAACTGTGGTATCTTTTTTCCAATCTCAAAAGTATCAGCTTATCCATATCCAAAATCACATTCACATTCACATTCACAATCTCAATCTCAATCTCAATCTCAATCACAATCTCAACAAAGAATCATCTTTCCACCACGACCTCATTCACCAATCAAACCACCAACGATCAATACAACTTCTTCATTAATCGAATCAGATCTATCATCCCACAAACCAAATCCCCCAAACAGATTAAGTAGATCATTAAAAGCTTCTTTACCAAACCAATCTCTTCATCATCTTTCGACTCCTAAACCTAAACCTAGGATCTCATTACATCATAATGCAAGAAAATCAATTGGAAATCTATTCAATAACAATCGACCCAATTCAACTGCCATCGTACCATCCTCTAATCCGAACGCCAACACACCTAGTACAACTACTACACCTAATACTTCGACTTCTTCTAGAATCTTACGAAACTTTTCTTCAATATCCAAAAATTCTAATCCGTTTCCAACTACTTCATCTGATTTAATACCCACTCCTATCCAATCAAGTCGACAACTTCGTGCTTCTTTACCTGAAACTCATTCAACTGAATCACATCACATCTCTGACTTGGATAAACCTAACACCGAACCCATCTTGATTATTTCAGATGAATTAAATCAACTTAAAAGATCTAATCCAACCGAAAGATTAATCGAAGAATTAAATTTAAATCCAACCAAACAGAACAAGGATGATGAGATCTTGATACGAACCAATTCGAAGTCTGATGAAGAATTCAAAGCGATTGAGAACCGATTAAAAGAAGTAGAAGAAGAATTAAGAAGTGTTAAAGAAGAAAGAAAGATGGCACAAGATGGATTACGATTAGCTAACGAAGAAAGCACAAGCAAGTTTGAAACTCAGTGTTTGAAATCTAATGAGATGGAAAAAGAGTATAAGAAGACGATTGAAGAGAAAAACAAGATGATTGAAAGGTTTGCTAAACAAGCCACCGAAAGCAGTCTAGAGATCGAAACGCTTAAAACTCAATTTGAACAAGAAACAAAGTCATGGAAAGATGAACGAGAAGAATTGGTTGAACAGTTGGGATCATTAAGACAAGCAGGTCAATCTCTCTGTTCGGTATACGAAGAAAAGATGTTAGAAGTGGAATCTAGAAGAGTCGAAGCAGTGGAAAGATATGAAAAGTTGAAAAAAGAATCACAGGAAGGAAACGGGACGGAGTTGAATAAGACCAGAATAGAAGAAAGAACCATTGAAAGAAGTGAAGGACATTTATCGATGGAAGCGATTGAGATTGATAATGAAAGATTAAAAGCAGATTTAAAGTATAATAAAGATCGATTAGGTAACTTACAAGATCAAGTTTATGAATTAAAACAAGAACTTGAAAGCGAGATTGAAAAGAAAGAAAGGATAGAAGAAGAGATGAGAAATACGATTGTGAGACATAAGAGTATGATGAAGAAGATGAAAGAAGAGAATGTGAACCAAGCCAAAGAAAACGAAAGTTTAGAAATGAAATTAGGACAAGTTGAGATGAGATTAAAAGAATGTGTAGAAACTATGGAAAAGGATAGGATCGAATTAGAAGGATTGAGAGATGAATTGATCGTTTCTCAACCTAGAAGATCGAATCAAACTACTAAATTGGTGATTCCTACTAATACGGATGATGATGATTTTTCGAAAAAGATTCGGTTTGGAAGAACAGAAGAAGAAACGGTAAGGGATCAGCAGGATGAGGATGAGGATGATTATGGAGATAGGACAGGTACAGTTATGGATAAAGGTGAGATTCCATACCATCCAACAGGACTTGATCCATCCAACAAAAAGTCACAAGTCCCTATACATCAAAAAGTTCAAACGGTCACTCAAACCAAAGAAGAACTCGAAATCGAATTAAGACAAGCTAAGAGAAGAATCGAAAGCTTATTAGAAGAATTAGGAGAAAAACATCAAGAACAGACACCTAGATTAGAAACCCAGAGATCGAATGAGAATTTCAAAACAAGAAGAGAAGAAGAAGAAAGGTTAAGAAACATGAAACATGATCCTAGTTTGTTATGTATCAAACAAGACGAGAGTTTAGGATTAATTCAAAGATTAGATAACTTGGAAAAACATTTAACTAGTTTCTCTTCCCAATCCACTTCACCTCATCATCAACCACAACATCATCAAGATCCAACTCATCTGAAAGGTAGATGGAGGAAAAGAGGAGGAAAAGAAGAAGGAGAAGGAAGTTTTGGATCATCTGTGGGATCTAGTTTGCCAATTTGGGTGACGGATCCAAGAAGTCAAGCGAGTAATGCTAGTGTGACAGGTAGTTTGAGTAAATCTAATAGGATTGGAAATATGACGAAAGAGATGCAAGAGATTTTAGGCTTGAAGGTCTTATTGAATCAATCGGATGATGATCGGGTGAAAGTAGAAATTGAGAATCGAGAATTAAAACAAGAAATCGAAGAATTAAAGTAAGTGGATCATCTTCTTTTTGGAAACCTATCATCCAAATTCATGGTGGATTGTTTTTGTTTTGGGTTGGGGGAAAAAGGAATACGAATCGGATGTTGGAAGGAGCGATTGAGAACCCAATGAAGGTTTTGAAAGATTATGATAAGACGGTTAGGTTGGAAAAAGAGATTAGAGAGTTAAGAAGAGAGATTGAGAATTTGAATCGGAAACATATTCAACAAGTTGATGCATTAAATCAAGAAGTAAGTTCTTCCCCTCCCCTACAACATCCAAATTGATTTCCAGAGGTTTGGATGGTTGTTTACTGATTTTTTTGGGGTTTGGAATTTAGGTGGTCGAACTTGAATCGATTATTGAAGTGAAGGTTTTGAAAGAAGCGGAAATCGAAGCTGAATTACAACATTATAAATATAATACTTGAAGAAAGTGAGAAAAGAAAAAGAAATGCCATTTTGTTTTGGATTGATTCTTCTTTATGATTTCGTTTTACATACAAACGCACTCATGCATCTTTCTTTGAACTTGACTTGACTTGACTTCTACTTCTCTGTTTTTTTTTTGCTTTGCATAACTTTTTTGGCTCTTTTTTCTTCCTTTTGCTTTTTCTGATTCTTTTTCTGCTTTTCTTTTTCTTTTTTTTTCTGTTTTTCTTTTTCTTTAGGTTTCATGTTTTATAAAAAAAACGTGTTGATTAGTTCTTTTTGACGGGTTTTTTTCTTGGTTTAAATAAAGTTATATCAACGAAAAAAACAAAAATATATAATCTTTAGAAACGGGACGGTTTTTCTTTACATACATACATTTTTTTTCTCAAGTTTGGATTTGGATTTGGATTTGGATTATTTATTTTTTGGAAAAAGTGGACTGGAATAGCTTTTGTGTGTGTGGGAATTGGTTATTGGGGAGGGTTTTTTTGTTTTTGTTTTTTCATCAGGGCTTTGGTTTTGGTTTTGGTTTTGGTTTTGCTGGGTTTTTTGGATTTTGGATTTTTGGATTTTTTGGTTTTGGTTTTGGTTTTGCTGGATTTCTGGTTTTTTGGTTTTGCTGGATTTTTGGATTTAAAAAGTGTTGAAATGAACAAGAATGTAAAAGGTTTCAAAATGAAATAAGATTATGGAAAGAAGATTTGAGGAAAAGTTTATAAATCAATAACTTCTGGGATGGTTTTTGTATATAGGATTAGATGATTTGTTGAATGCTTAGATTAATTTTGAATGCACCTTGGTTGTGAATTGATGATTAGTGATCTGCTAGTAGTGAGTCTGATGACACTTTTATTATCAAGAGAAGTTGATTTGTTAAAGATGAGTTTGTGAGAAATGATTGGGAAATGTTTAACTGCAACAAATGTGTGTGTATGTCTGATCAGGAGAAACATTTGAGAGTTCTTCGGTATTGATCTCACTTGAAACTTGGAAGAGAAATTAGAACTTTACAAACCGTAATAAAAGTTACAAACTATACCAAGAACAAACCAAGAACAAGAATAAAAACAAGAACAAGAACAAGAACACGAAGAAGAACACGAAGAAGAACAAGAACAAGAACAAGAACAAGAAAGACCCCGATCGAATCAAAAAAGCACCACCATCAAGATGAAACTCCAAGAATATTCGATTCAACTTTTCACAAGATCACCACCTCTCATAAAACTAACCATCATCTTAACATTCTTAACACAATCAATTTACATTGTATATTTAATGTGGAAAGTTTTCATAAAAGTTTTACGTCAAAGACTTTTTTCATCGAATCAACTTAAACGAAACCAACTTATTAATCAAACTATTAATCAATCAAGTTCTACTCTTCAAACTTTTCGGGAAAAAAGGGTGATTGGATTGTTTCATCCTTATTGGTAAACCATTTCTTCATTCCTACTTTCTAATCACTAATCTTTTTTTTTGGGTTTTTTTTGGGTTTTTTTTGGGTTTTTTTTAGTAATGCTGGTGGTGGTGGTGAAAGAGTTTTATGGACTGCAGTTTCGTTTCATCAAAGATCTGATCCGAATACGATTTGTGCAATTTATACTGGAGATCTAAATGTTACTAAATCAGAAATGATCAACAAAGTTAAAGTAAGACCTCTCTTTCATCAATCAATCAATCAATCTGATATTTTGGAATCCGTTTCACAGCAACGATTCGATATCGATTTAGATCCGTATGCTTTGATTCTGATTCCTTTAAAGACTCGGTACTTGGTTGAGTCTAGTAGATGGCCAAGGTTTACGTTGGTCGGTCAATCACTAGGTTCGATGGTTTTAGCCTACGAAGCCATAACTCAACTGATTCCCGATATATACATTGGTAAAGTTCCAGCCCAACCATTTTTCGATTCATATATACCAAACTGATTCTTGATGTTTTGGGGTGATTAGATACGATGGGATACGCTTTTACGTTTTTGGTTTGGTCTGCTTTAACGTCTATTCCGATTGGAGCTTATGTACATTATCCAACGATCAGTACGAATATGTTGAAAAGAGTCACCGATCGAAACTCGTCTTATCAGAATTCAACTTCAATCTCTTCTAGTTTCGTTTTATCTTATCTTAAAGTATTGTATGTTTTTTTCTATGTTAATCTGATTTCAAAAGAATGTAGAGTTAACTTTTTGATTGTTTTTTTTTGATTTGGTTTGGTTTGGGGGGATGTGGAACTAAAAGGTATTATTTACTTTTTGCTGAAGTGTATTCAGTTTGTTTAAAACGAGCTGATTATTTAATGGTGAATTCTACATGGACCAAAACTCATGTAGACAAACTACTCCGAGCGCATTTCCATCACTCTCATTCTTCAACCCCTCCAAGATCATCTCAAATAGTTTATCCTCCATGTGACGTGAAGACATTCACAAGTTTTCCTCTTCTAAATCGAAAGAAACTCATCTTATCAATCTCTCAATACAGACCTGAAAAAGATCAACTTAAACAAATCGAATCGTTTGCAAAGTTTTCAAGTTCATCAAACTTTTCAAAAGATGTAAAGATGATCTTAGTTGGTAGTTGTAGGAATCAAGAAGATTTGGATAGGGTTGAAAGTTTGAGAAATAGGTGTAAGGAATTAGGTATCCAATCGAGTGTTGAACTTAGGGTGAATGTCGGATGGGATGAACTTAAGGAACTTTTGGGGAGCAGTTTGGTGGGCATCAGTACGATGGTTGATGAACATTTCGGGATTAGTATTGTAGAGTTTATGGTACGCAATCAATCAATCTTCCAAGAAACACAAACCCCCTTTAAACTGATATTTTGATTTGGTGTTTTATAGGCAGCAGGATTAGTACCATTAGTCCACAAATCAGGTGGACCATTAATGGATATCATCAATGAGACTGGAAACCGAACCGGATTTTTCGGTACAGATGTAGATTCCTTTGCAGCTAGATTAGAAGAGATCTTTAGGCTTTCAGAAACAGATTGTTTGAAGATTAGAAGTGAGGCTAGAAGAGTGAGTGTGGAAAAGTTTTCCGTCAAGGTGTTTGAATCTGCTTGGGAGAATGGGGTTGGGGAAGTTATGAGGGTTGGGATGGATAGGATTGGGAAAAAAGAGAAGAAGAGTGAGTGAGGTCGAGTGGGAGTTGGAGTTGGAAGGCAGATTGGGTAAGTAGTTTTGGTTTTTTTTGCTTTGGATTGGTAATGGAATCAATGAAATTGTTTTATAATTTATATTTCTGGATAATTAGATATCTGTAAGAAGCAATCATGAGCTTTGAAGTTTGGTGAGTTTCCGAATGCAGTGTATGTATATATATTAAGAATGATGAACATTTTCAGGAATGCAAAAGATATGATTACATATTTGATCGACATGAAGGGTGTGTTCACTTGAGCAATCTCTGTTGAGAAATCACATTCTGCAAAATTTAAAGTGTCTATTTGGTGGTGCATATTGCATTTTTGCAACAGGACAGCACTATTTGGCAACCACCTTTTTTGACCCAATGCCCGGTTTTCAGATACTTGTTAGTCAACGCCCTATTTGATTGAAATATAGCCCGGTTTGAATTTGAAATCACGATTTTTTGAAATCACGCTGGCTGGCTCAGCAAACATGCTCGCCACCAATTTGTTCATTCAAATGTCTCATTTTCTCACTCATCATCAAAGGTCAATTTTACCTCTTCGCGCCCTTGCTTGAAGCGTCAAAAAACTCTCGGATCTGTTTATCACAGAGATCAATAACTTTTGGATTTCAAAACCAAACACATAAAACAGCTCAATAGAAATAAAAAAAGTGTTAGAGTAAGTAAGAGGAAGTAATCATACAAAAAGAGGGAGACATGAGCAACAAGTGTGAGAATTTAAGACTAAGACAAAATTTACACAACACAAACCACAACAACTCATCAATCAACAAACATGAGATGGTGAATTGAGATCAAGAGAAAAGTATACAACACCAAAACCTGCATATCATTTTTGTTCAATCCACATATTGAATCGGGTCCCTTTTGATCCAGGTGGGTAATTTGGTCCTATCAAGCATTGCTGCGTTGCAGTGCTTGGGAAGAAAGACAGTTCGATCTTTTGAGAGGAGGCAAACAAAGAAAGTCGTGAGGTGAAGTCAGTACCGGAAGAAAGAAAATGAGGAAAAGAACTTGAACGAGACACTTACCATCTTTAGGCGATTCATGTTGGCTAGTCGCCTTCAAAATTGAACGTTTGATCTTCCCAATGCGGAAGGGATAGAAACGTTGGTTCGTTCCAAAGGAGATTTGATTGTTGAAGCTTGATGCGGTGGTTGAGAAATGGTGGTTGCCTGGTTTGATACTTGATTGGAGGTGTTCTAGTAGCCCGGTTTCTCATGGTGAGAAGCCCTCTTGCGAATACGAAAGCTGTTTACTTGTTTGATGCCCGGATTGGCTGCGGCTGCGGCCAAATTTGGCGGAGACAGGGCCGAGTTATGTGAGTAAAGCACGGATAAGTACCGAAACCTGTTGGTGTCCAATCGACTATGTGTAAAGAGAGCAGTTACGAGAAGTGATTAACAATTTAGGAAAATTCAATGATGTCATTATAAGAATCACTACACGGGTATAAGAAAAGATTACTTACAAAAGATATTCTACCCCAACCAAAAGATCATATATAAAGCTAGTTATTAAACCCCCAAAGTACATTCTCTTTTCCTCATCTTCGGAAAGAGAATGTACGTATGTTTCATTTTTCGTTTTATCTAATTTCTTTTCTTTATTGAATTAATCTGATGTTTCAATGTGAAGTGTTGTTGTTCTCATAGCCAGTTCCAAGATCAGTTAAACTTACAAGTTTGACTTTAATCTTCTTGCTCTTTACTTGTTACGCTAAACCTCATCACAGGTACTTATAAAATATTCTACTAGATTTTCATTTCATACTACATTACTCACCTTTCTCATCTTTGTGTTGTGGTTGTTACTAAACTGTGTTGTAGGTCAGCGGTCTTTCCTAAGAGCAGAAGCCAGATCAGCTATTATCTTATCTAACATTATCATCTATCAGGTAATTAATATAATCTTCGGAAAGAGAATTGTCGTTGTTCTCATAGCCAGTTCCAAGATCAGTTAAACTTACAAGTTTGA